TAGAGTCGTAACATATCTGTGGGATCTGAATAAATGCAATCTCATTCCTTTTGCCTTTTTGCCACATTCTTCTTTTACTATTCCAAAGTTACCTCATCATCTTTGGTGTCTTTTCATATCGTCACTAACATCTTACTCACCTTGCGGTAACCCTTCTGTACCAAGGATAACTGAATTTTTTACGCACGAGGGTGACACCTAGTGTAACTGGCACACTTAGTCTCTTAAGTTTAACTCTACTCACATTGCTTGCTTTAGGGAAGTGTCTTCCTGAATGACCTTTAAAGGTCATTCTTCTGTTGTCGATTGTATTATTGCCGGAACGCAATCTCTAAAATTCTCACGATATCGACTATTATCAAATCTTACGATCCCTAATTCATGTTCAGTATATCTTGTTCACTAGCCCATGCTAATTTCTATTACTCCGAGGGTCTAACATTTCCATCTAGTAATCATGTTGGAGTCACCAACTCATTTCTCAAAATGCGGATGTGACTTTTTGGTGCTTATACTCTTTATTGTCTCAAGGCCATTCACCTTTTGTCTTTTTCTTCACTTGACTATAGACTTTATCATCCTGTCATATTTTGATCTACCGTCATCACCTATTTATTACATCTTACTCATAATACTTTATTTACTCTCTTCTTATTCTCCTACTAATATTTTTGTCTATTACCTTATTCGAAAAGCTTCAACAAAACATTATTTCGCTTTTAGCTCTCCTTGCTCCATCCACTGGCTCTTCGGATCGCCTAACATTCTCTCTTTACTAGGAACGTGAGTCTTACTAAGGTAAATATTTATCCCTTTTAGGATTCCAGTACCTATCTTCTGAATTTTATGAACATGCTAGTATTCATATCTAACTTTACTATTCTAGAGTGAACCATCTGGGTGTCTCACAAGGAGAACTATTATCACGTTTGCAATATCCTTCAGAAATGTCAGCTAATGCTAACAATCCATCTTATCATTTTGGGTTACTCTAACCCCAGCTGGATCCTGATATCCCATTCTTCTCTTAAACTATATCTGCTAGCTCCCATATAGCATAACTGAGATGGGTGTGGCCTATTGTACATACCTCTATTAATGTTGATGGTAACTCGGAATACTTATATTTCTCTGCCTAAATTGTAAAAACTGATAATCTTCACTAACTGGGTACCTCGTACCCTTCTTCACCTTACTTCTTTTATTTGTTGAAACTTGTATCTACCTTCTGATTCTCTCGTTGCTTTTTTAAACCATATGGGTAGATAGATATTCTTGCCTTGGGGCTCCTGATCATGAAGCTTACATGTCTTAGTACACACATGATCTACTGAAGACCTTACATTTACTCATCATAAGCATGATGCAAAATCGAGTTCCTCTAACTCAACTCTTCCATAGCCATATTCAATCTCTTACCAACTGTCTTTGTGGATATAGGTATCGTTGTATTACAAATAAAGTATATTTTAAGAGTTTGAATTCTTACAACTGAGCTCTACCACACGATCTAGAGTAAGAAGTAAGAGTGACAGTCCTAAATGCCCTATAGTCACCTGCTTATAAGTGTGGTGCACAACACACCCATAAACAAGACACTACTAGACACGACTTGTAGACTCCATAGCATAGAACTATTATGATACCAAGTTTGTCACGACCCAAATCGGAGGGCTGCAGCAGGCACCTGATGCATTACTCAATAGAGTACCAATGTAACGTATCTTTCTTATCATACCATCATGGGTAAATGGACAGAGGGCTGTCATGAGATTACCAGAATAAAACATAAGGGAATACTCAAGATAGGACGATCCAACATGATATACAAACTTATTCGTGTGGCATACGGGCTTCTAAGGACGACATGATCATTTGTATACAAGTATCCATATACATGACATCCATCTACAAGCCTCTAAAGTACATAAACTTCATAAAGGTCGGGACAGGGCCCTTCCATAATAATCAATATATGTCCTAATCATACTGACCAAATAGGCAACTCCGGAGCAAGTGAGTGCACCATCACCTTCCGTTGAGCTGGTAGCCTATTAGAAGGACTGTCAACCTGTCCATCGGAACTTGTAGGCATGAAATGCAACGTCCCCATGCATAAAGGATGTCAGTACGAATAAAGTACTGAGTATGTAAGGCAGGAAAACATAAATAAGAATAGTAATGTAAATAGAGATAAAAAAGGTACAACCTCTAACATCTGAGTTCCTCTGAGGGCTAATAATATGAAATTCATGATACATAAATATACACAAAAACTTTTAAAAATATACGCCACTGTGCTCATCATCATCATATTGTACCCGGCCATAATAGGCTCGATAAAAATGTACACGGCCATCATAAGGCTCAGTAGAATCATACCCAACCATGTGGATCACGGTAAAACCCAACAGATCAGTGGTTGCACAATAGGTGTCGTACACGGCCGACTATAGCGCGACTCGGCCGAGTAAAATAGATAAATATATATAATGCATGTTAGACTAGTGGAATCACATTCTCAATCTTTCCGAGTGATGTAAGGTCATTGCACCTTCGATTAACATTATGGACATCCATACCATCAATATGAACTTCAATAGGTTCAAGGATCGTACAAAATTGCTTAGAATAACTTTATTAGTAAAGAACAACATGGACAGCCTTAGTTCCTAGAACTAGACCCGTTATGAAATAGCATATCGTTTCCGTTCATTTTATATTAGATCATGCCAAAAGAAAGAATAAAGTTCCTTAACATACCTTTGCAATCTACTCTCCAATCATCAACCAAGCTCAATATGATCTTCGTGCGTCTATAATGATTAAACCGACTTTGTCATCATCATATAAGCGTTGTAACTCTCGTATTTCAAAACCAATATTCTACAAGAAAAATGGACAGCACCTCTCATATTTTTACTACATCCCATAAGTTACTAAAAGTCACCAAATAGCCCAAACAACAATAATATAAATCACAATAAGCTCTTTGATTACTTCAACAACCATTTTGAGCGGCAAGTTTGATTTATAATTAACAAAATATGACTTAATCCAATTCCTTTTCCATGAATCTACCTACAACATCTATAAAATCATACTTATGCTTACCATATCATTTTCAGACCAAAACATCATAAGAATAATCTTCAAAAATAGTCCACACGCCTAGCACCTTAACTTTTATCATCAACCTCTTATTTTTCATGTTATCTTCTTCAATAAACTGAATTAGCACATGGATAAGCTTAACAACAACATTCGTAACATAATCAAACTATTTATAATAATTTTCAGCCACAACAAACTATTTATATAGCCTCAACACATCTCACAAAAAAGATAACGATTCCTTATGCCATGTCAATTACTATCTTGTATATTTTCACTCAAATAACTCAACCAAAATATGATTAACCTTAAGCACAACCAAGAACATGATTTACTTACCTTAGTTAGTAGATACAACTTAAAATTCCCAACTGGTGTCGCTCACAACAACCCTCAATCATACGACAACACTATAGAAGTTGTATTCTCTTCTTGAATCAACTTTTGTGTTCAAGTTGATGTGTAAACACTTGTATTTCTCCTTAAAACTCTAACATATATATGAGGGAGGGACTAATTACTACCTTAATCAACAAGAGCAATGCAAAATCTGAGGTTACATTACTTTGAAGGATCCTCCAAAACAGCCACAAGATGAAGAACTGCGATCTAGGAAGCACCACGGGATTTCTAGCATTGGATTCATGTTTTTATCTTTGATTTTCACTCTAGAATTATGGAGAAACTCTTAGAGAGCCTCTAGGAGGATTTCGAAACTATTTTGTCGAGAAACATGAGTTAAAATGACTTAGAATTGATTTAAATACAAGCTGGAGTTTTACACCGACTTTGTGGGTCCCATGGGAGGTGCTTGCAAAGTATCATAAAAATGTGAATATCTCTCTATTCCAATGTCGTATTGATGAACGGTTAAATGCGTTAGTAAATAGACTCGTAGATCTTCAATTTGGTAGGTAGATCACCCTGTAATTCTAAGTATATTAGGAGAAAATTTCAGCTACGTTTGACCTAATTTTCAGCATATTTATGAATGTAACTTGTGATGACCTTTGCCATTCCATAACTTGTTTGACTTCAAAACATAACATACACGACTATCATACGACTAACGTAATTAATAATATAACCTCCTTATAATGTTAAGCACCCTAGTCTCACCCCCAAAGTACGTGTTATAACATTCCCAACTCGTCGACTTTCGACGAAATTTATTTTCTTCAATTCGTTTAGCTTCTATGTCTTCCAACCCTCTTGGTACTTGGTATTCGTGATCTTAAATATTTATAACCTCCACGGTAACATGATTAACTTACTTTATAAACTTTTCAAAGATGATCTCATTCCTGAGCTTACATCAATTGACTAACGACGTACTCTTACGTACGAAAATATGAGGTATAATATTTTGCAAGTTTATATTGTTGGTGTATGACATCATGAAACGACGACAAATAATACAATCTATCCAAATATTGTATTCATCAAATAATGCAATACAATTCAGTATAAATATGATACATTATAAAACGACATATAACAACAATCCAAACAACCTGTAATGGGGAAAAGGAAGGACATGTGAAAAAGGATACCCAAGTGACGGTTTAAAAGGAGAGGTGGACATCTGTTAGGGTTAGGGTTGAATCCGTTTACTTTGGTAACGGTAATGTGATATTTGGACCGAAAGATAACGGGGTAAATATAAACATTTTATCAAGGTATAGGAACAAATCTAGACCTTTCCCATTAGATAATGGATTTGGGACCGATGGAGGAATCTCTATCTTTTGCGTTTGACCAAAAAGACGATGCGAGTATTATGGAAATTTGAATCCTTTTTCATGTCCAAAAGACTAAACGAGACGAGACCTACTTATGCCAAATTCGTAAACATTGAACTTTCAAATCATCGCCAAGTAGTAGTCTACGAGTAGTCAAACATCCATTGCACTTTGAAAATGAGAACATAATATTATTTAATCTTAAAGAAATCAGTTAAGCAAACAACATTCCAAAAGTCCTTTATCAAGATTTCCTTTTTCCTTGGATTGGCAACGGATCCATGACTTGGATCACAGCCTCGTTGGTACTTAAAACTGTCCCTGCAGCTTGTTTCAATTAAGAATAATGTTCCATGCTTGAGGCTCTGATCCTGCTGGTTTAATTTGCATTGAGAAGTGGCGTCAGTGCCCTGACCATAATAGACATGTTTGGCCTGAAATCTGCCTCATATTGAACACAAAGTTCTACAAGAGCAGCCACCTGAGAATAACCCGATAGCGTGTTACGTTATGTCCAAAATAACAACAACAACAACAATAACTCACTATAATCCCACAAGTGGGGTTTAGAGAGGATAATGTGTACGCAAACTTTACCTCTACCTGGGGTAGAGAGACTGTTTCCGATAGACCCTCGGCACAAGAAGATGAAATGCAACAATAGAAAATATAGTAGCGTTGTGCCCAATAAAAATAAAAATAAATATAAGGCCTTGTTTGACAAGAATTTTGTTGAAGAAAACCTTGGCAATTGCCTTTGGAGGGTAGTCATTATTTAGGTTGGGATCAACACACTCCTTCACTTTATCTTCACTTAATAGCGGAGTTGCCTGCAGAAGATTTGAGGATGAATGAGTGCATAAAGATGAGATGAATTAGCTAGGTAGAGATATATAAGAACCTACCCATGCAACAAGACTCTGTTGCCCTTCGGGCATTGTATAATCTACTGGTTTCCTTCCTGTCAACAGCTCCAAGAGAATAACTCCAAAACTATAAACATCACTTTTCCGTGTTATCGCTTCTTCCATGGCATACCTGCACCATACATGACAAGAACATATACCTCTAATTTCAGTATAAGCTAACTAGGAATGTTAGGGTAACTGGTAAGTTTTAACAATGCAACGCTTACTCTGGACCATGGTAACCAAAGTCCTCTGAAGATTCAGAGGTTGTCAAGTTGAAATCAGCAATCTTTGCTATGAAATCATCAAAGAGTAGTACATTGCTTGATCTGACATCGTGATGAATAATTGGCGGTTCAACTTTTTCATGTAGATAATCGAGGCCACTAGCTACACCACAAGCAATTTTAACTCTCTCATTCCAGGTAAGAACTAGACTAGGTTTAGCACCTTGTACTCCCTTTCTACCTACAACAGAACATCCAAGAATCACAATTACTTATGATGTAATTGTACAAAGGATTATTCTGAATGAATTCATACCAAGATTGGAAAGTCTATTACCATGTAATACATCATGCAACGTGCCCATGGTTGCGAACTCATAAACTAAGATTCGATTGTTTGCTTCCAGGCAATAACCCATTAGAGTCACAAAATGTTCATGCTTAAGTCTTGAAACCATTGCTAACTGCATATGTAAAAAGGAAAATATTTTGTCTTAAAATGGAGTAATACTTACTACTGGTTACACGAAAAGGAGGAAAATATCAACCTGGTCTGCAAAGTCGGAATCTGGTTCTGGTGAAGAACTAGTATCCAATTTCTTTATTGCTACTTGTTGGTCATTGCTTAATTTAGCACCAAAAACGCAGCCATAAGATCCCTTTCCAATCAGAGCTTTCTCATCAAAGTTATTAGTTAGTATATTTAGCTCATCCAAGGACATCTCTGGACGTACCTCAATTGGTAAAACTTTCTGAGGAGCTACACTTGGCTCTCCTCCTTCACTAGCTGCACGATGTTTAAGACATAATTAAGCAAATAAAAGTTGGCCAAGGACGGGTGTGGTCATAATCTTCCTCATTTCACCAATTAGTCAAATCATGTTTATGATTGAGCAAAATAAAGAGGTGTCTGTGGTTTATTTAATTAGAAGGCCTAATAAATTTCAATCTAATACATGTAAACCAACAGGAAAAGGACATGTCCAACTAGAATTTTTTCACTTTTGTTCGCAATCTAAAAACTGTTCCCTGGATCACTCACAAAAATTCAAAAAACAAACCAAAATTATATTCATGTCCAAACACAACTCTAATTTTCAAATACCATTTTCACTTGAAAAAAAATTCACTTTGTTTTTAAAATTTTAAAATTCTTATGTCCAAACGCCACTAAGTGAGTTTTAGATAATAAGGAGTGAAAACAATTCGATGGTATATTCACTATCCAAATGAGAACATTACACCATTCATAATAAATAAATAAATAAATAAGTAGAAGGAGAAAAGGGGTTTGGAGTGGCAAAATGGCAAGCAAAGAAACGAAAGAAAAGAGGGGATTTTGCAAGGTAAAAAACGGTTAACGTATAAGTATGATAAAGAAGAAAGCTACCTTGGTTGTTGAAGTAATGGAGTTTATCCTTGATGATAGTCTTAATTGCATTGATGAGGATGATAGTGACAATGGCACTGATGATAAGGATGCCATAGTTGCCAAAATTTGATTCTGAAAAGGAAGACATTATTCTTTTCCAGTTTTGATGTTAATTTCTTGTTTATATAGGAAGCTGTGGCAAAGGTTTCAGTCAGTCAACACGGCAACTTTTGTTCTAAATAATTGTATTGTATGCAACAGCAAATTACAGGCGGCTAAGCATTGTACACTAGTTGTTTATTCAGACCAACAAGAGGATAAAACCAAACAGTGCTTACATAAAGCTGCAGTATTAGGCCAAGTTGCTTTATTATTTTTTTAGGCTAGTTGCAAGTTGCAACGCACCTAATCTAATTAATTGGGTAAACGTTAAGCCTTTTAGCTATATTCTTATTTTATTTTATTTAAAAAATTAAGTCTATTATTGTGCTCTGAATAGTCGACAGGGAATCCAACTACAATATTGATTTGAACCCTTCACATTGCAGTTAATTAAATGGTTTTCTCTAGACAGTTAATTAATAAGTGTACTACATTTTGTGGATGAGAAATTTTCAGAAATCACTATTGTTTACAGCTTGTTTGGATGGTTGTTACCCATTGTATCGTATCATATTATTACTTTAGATATAATTTTTATTTTGGGTGTTACTTAAATTTTATTGTATCGTATCGTTAAATCTGTCGTTACATAACGGCGAAATGTGTCACTTTATGTAACGACCGATTTGGTGTGGTCGCATCGTTACCTTGTCTTTTTCTCTCAATCTCACCCTTTATTATTATTAAATTATTTTATTTTATCATTTACCCTATCTTTTTATATAGTAATTTTACCTTGTATCATAATTTTTCTTTATAATATCGCAAGTTTATTCTCCATATTGCTGGTGCGTGATATCATGAAACGATGGCAAACGACACAATCTATCCAAATATTGTATTTATCAAACGATACAGTACAATACAATACATTATACGATACATTATGAAATGGTGCGTAACAACCATCCAAACAAGGTGTTAGTGGTTATTAACTTCCTATAGCTAACATATACATAATTACTTTCTATCGCTACTATTCAGTTGTTACGGTAGTGTATTCGTTGTATTCGCGCTGTTGTATTCATGAATACAGCAGCATAGAACAGCAAAAAGCGCCTAAAAACCAGGGCAGTCCAGCTTCATGCACATGTATTCGCGTCATGTATTCATGAATACAACACCAAAAAGCACCCAAAATCAAGAAAATCCAATTGTACGTGCATGTATTCACATATATCCGCGTTGTTGTATTCATGAATACAGCAGTAAGAAGCACCTAAAATCAGGGCAGTCCAGCTGTAAACACATGTATTCACGCCATATATTTATGAATACAGCAGCAAAAAGCGCCTAAAATCAGGGCAATCCAATTGTACGCGCATGTATTCACTTGTATTCACGCTGTTGTATTCATGAATACAACAGTAAAAAGCGTTTAAAATCAGGGCAATCCAGTTGTACGCGTATGTATTCACATGTATTTATGAATACAGTAACGACAATCACCTTAAAAACAGGTATGTCCAGCTCTCATAAATAGCGTATTTCATGCCTTATTTCAGATCTTATTTCATGCCTCAATGGTAGTATATACCATAAATACTTATTTTGCTATAAAATATAAAAGATAGCTAGGGTGTATACTTTTGCTATAGGAAGTAAAATATTTATTTTTTAACCTGTATAAATACTGGAATGAATTACTACACCTCATGGACAGTCAAATCAAAACAATAAACAAAAAGGATAAGAAAATGTGAAAGCATTGAGTGTTTCAAATAGTGATTGATATGAGACCGACAGGAAGTCTGAATAATCATCATGGAAAATAGAAACTTTTGTTATCCAAACAACAAAGTCGAAACCTAAATAATAATATTTTGGATTCAAAATATCTTTATACAATTAAAAAACAATTATATTTCTAACTAAAATACAATATTATACTGTATTTTAATTTAACAAAAAATTAGTCGTTAATATAAAATACACTATAATATTACGTTTTAATTAATAATTTATTTATTTATAGGAAAACGTATTATAATACTACGTTTTAGAAAAATATAATATTATAATGTGTTTTCCTATTAAATTATAAACTTGTCTTCTTCCCCACGACAAAATACCCCCTCTCTAGCGGTCCCCCCTCCTTTTTGAAAACAAAAATCGATTGGACCCCACCTATTATACAAAAAGTGAAAAGTATAGGTCTCGCATACAACCCAAGCCTTCAATTGTTGTGGATTTCTTCTTTCAAGCTCAAAAATTCAAATTTTCGACATTTCAAAAAACATAAATCGAGGTATTCCGATTTAGTTTATGTCGAAACTCGTATAATTATGCATATTTGTTTTATTGAATGTGTTTCTACGTTGATTTATGTTATGTTTGCGATTAAATTTGTATGTTATTTTTACCCGAATTAAATTATTAGTGTTTTAAAAAAATAGTTAAAAGTTGAGAAATAATTTTTATTATTAATAAAATTGTTCATAAATATCTTTTACTGTTTTATATGTAATTTCGTGAATGTTATGTTCATATGTTTGTTGTTTTTATTTAGTTTAGATTATTTATTTGCTTAAAGAATAGTGGCCTTTTAGTGTAGTAAAATATAGAGCATTTTAGCGTAGTAAAATATAGAGCCTTTTAGCGTAGTAAAATATAGAATCTTATAGCATAGTAAAATATAAAGCCTTTTAGCGTAGTAAAATATAGAGCCTTTTAGCGTAGAGTCTCTGTAGTTTAAGTATCTACTAATTACAAACTCTATCCAATTACACTTTACAAAAATTAATTATTTAATTTATAAAACAAACTTACAGAACTAACAAATTAATATATGTTGTCAAATTAAATATCGAGCATGGAACTCATAGTTATATACCTTGTCCAATTAAAAATTAATTATTTAATTTATAAAACTAACAAAATTTTAAAATATTGAAATTGACATACATAAGAATTCAGGATAGCTTGGTGCTACTGAGCCTCAAATATCTAACCTGGAACTCATAGATATTTACTCTGTCCAATTAAATAATTAATTATTTAATTTATTATACTAACAAAATTCTAAAAAATTTGAAATTAACACACACAAAAATTAAGGAAGCTTGGTGCTACTAAGCCTCAAATATCGAGCCTGGAATCCATAGTTATATATTCTGTCCAATTAAATAATTAAATATTAATTATTATAACACAAACAAAATTCTAAAAATATTAAAATTGACACACATAAGAATTCAGGATAACTTGGTGCTACTGCGCATCAAATATCGAGCCTGGATCCTATAAATATTTACTCTGTCCAATTAAATAATTAATTATTTAATTTATTAAACTAACAAAATTCTAAAAAAATTTAAATTGACACACATAATAATTAAGGATAGCTTGGTGCTACTAGGCCTCAAATATCGAGCCTGTAACCCATAGTTATATACTATGTACAATTAAATAATTAAATATTAATTATTATAACACAAACAAAATTCTAAAAATATTGAAATTGACACACATAAGAATTCAGGATAGCTTGGTGCTACTGGGCATCAAATATCGAGCCTAAAACTCATAGATATTTACTTTGTCCAATTAAATAAGTAATTATTTAATTTATTAAACTAATAAAATTCTAAAAAATTTGAAATTGACACACATAATAATTAAGGATAGCTTGGTGCTACTGGGCCTCAAATATCGAGCTTGGAACTCATAGTTATATACTCTGTCCAATTAAATAATTAAATATTAATTATTATAACATAAACAAAATTCTAAAAATATTGAAATTGACACACATAAGAATTCAAGATAGCTTGGTGCTATTGGGCCTCAAATATCGAGCTTGGAACTCATAGTTATATACTCTGTCCTATTAAATAATAAACATTAATTATTATAACACAAACACACAATTAATATTGTTTAATTTACAGTAGACGTCATGGACTTGCCGCCCATGCATCCTGGACCAGCCTCGGATCAGATATTAGTGTTACAGGGCGACCATAGGTCCTCCTACGTACGGGAGGGACATCTATTGGATCAGACTCTCCGCGCCAGAAGGTCGGACGACTTGTGGGACTTTTTGAGGCATAAAGATTTCCATCCCCGCGTAGTGCATCGCCTGCGTGCTACGGGCTTCCTTAGGATTTTTGAGATTAGGCGGCTGCAGCTCGACTGGTCTCTCATCACGGCGTTGATAGAGCGGTGGTGATCGGAGACGCACACTTTTCACCTGCCCACTGGAGAGGCCACCATCACGCTTCAGGATGTTTAGGTTTTATATGGGCTGCGTATTGATGGACTAGCCATTGCACTGCCCTAGTATATGAGAGCTATGATGCGTGCCCAATATTTGAATTTGCTGGAGCAGTATACTGGTTTCAGGACACAAGGTGAGGCTGCAGTTAGAGAGGGCAGTCGCACTTCTGTGATAGCTGCCAGACAACATATGGAGATATTGCACCCCGACATTACTAGCGAGACTGAGGATCTCCATATTCACTGGTACACGAGGTTGGAGTTGTTCCTTCTTTTTTGGGGTGTTTTGTTCCCGAATACTTTGGGAAATCTAGTAAGTATGCGCTTTCTACATCATCTTCAGCAGCTAGATGAGTTACCCTAGTACAGCTGGGGTGCTGTTGTTCTCACCTACCTGAATATGAGTATATGTCGGGCTAGCATGGGCACCCAGGTCGACATATTTGGTTTTCTGCCGCTTCTACAGGTGACAACATATTCGAATACTCTGTTCATTACTTCGAATTCTAATAGTCAAAATGACTCTTAAATTTTACGTCAACCTTGTATGTTAGGTTTGGGCCTGGGAGCGGGTCCTGCCGTTGCAGCTACCTCTACCACCATTAGAGCCGGATGTAGCACCTTCGTTTCTCCCTCTAGCTAGGAGGTGGGTTCTTCGGCATGGGAAATACCAAGGCACTGATGTTCATCATAATCTCCCCCTTGTCAGGGATGTGTTGGATATGCTGGAGGCCGAACAGGTAAATATGTACCTAAACTTACTTGTTATAAATTCACTTATGTTGCGCATACTCACTTTTATGTTATTATTTGATAGTTCATCTGGATGCCATACATCAACGAGTTGCTAGCTGATCTGCCCGATTATTGCTCGGTCGACTGATAGCTTTGGAGCACTTCTGTCCCGCTGATGTACATCGATGTTGTGGAG